TCTCTCTCTCTCTCTCTCTCTCTCTCTCTCTCTCTCTCTCTCACTCTCTGACGCTCGCCACTGCTTCCTGCCGGCATCTCCGGTAAGTTCCACTTTGTTCGCTCGCTCACTCTCCTACACCTTCTTCGCTTTCCCCCTTCAGTCCATCTCTCTCTTCTCTCACCCCGGATAAGGGATGAATAATGTACTCCCCGACCTCTGAGCAAACCTCCATGCAACCTGAATGACAAATCAGTTTGCCGTCCGAGCCAGGTCACGAATCGACGTCAGCCTTACCTCTATCCTCCACTCTCTGTCGTTTACTCGTGTCTTTCTTTCTCTCTCTCTTCTCCTTCTCCCACGCAGTGTTCGTTCCTCTCGAAGGTCCTGAATTTTCGCGAGACGTTTTTCGCTCTCGCACGAATCCCGACGGCATGCCAGCGGTCGTCAACGTTTTTAATGTCCACGGGATATCGCCGACACGCTTTCCGGCTCTCCGACCACCGTGAATAAATCGAGAAAATTTACTAACGTGGCGCGAGCAAGCTCGACGTTATCGAGTGCGAACATGACGGCTGTGAGTTAACACGTTTATTAGCGATGTCACGTATATGTGGCTTACCGACTTTTCACCAGAGATCAGTGTCAAACACGTCCAGTGACACATTATGTAACACGCCCAGTTTGTACATTTTATATTTAACGTTTGCATAAGTGTAACCTTGCATTACATTAAGTATGGTACTAAAAATATATCAAAAGTGGTCAAAATATAATAAGCAACTTTCCAATTTAAGCGCATGACAAACGTGTTAACAATCAACGAAATTCTATGAAATTTCTATGCTCAATATTTAAAAATGTATTGCCCAACAATAATAAAAAAATTGTGAGAAACTTGAAGATTAATCTATATTGTGTATAATTTAACACTGATTCAGAGTCTGGTTAGAAAGTTACTCCACTTTGAAGTGTAAATCTAGCAAACATAATGACGTCAAATGACGTTCTAATGGCGCAATAATGACTTCTCCAATGTCATTAATGTTTCAATATACTGTCGTTTATACATATCATATGTTTTTATATAGAAAATAGAAATATTAAGAATATTAAAAACATTTTTAATTTTCAGTGACTTTTTTTGAAAGCATCGTATGGACAATGCATTTTTAACAATCTTGCAAAAACAATCAACCTTTCCAAATATCAACGCAATTTTAGAAGATAATAGAAGATCTTTATATATCTCTGATGTTTCTTTTGGACGGATATATTACATAGAAAAAAATTGTTGTATTAATCAGAAAAAAATTAAAATATATCATAGCTTTTCTTTCTGGCTTTAAGAATTAATTCTTGGTTACGCTGACCTGCCTCAAAAATGCATTTTTTTCAGGCAACGAATCGCAGTGCTGCAATGTATGATGTATGATGTATGATGCATAGGTCAACGTAACCAAAAGTTGGTTACTGAAATAAAAGCTATGCCATATTTTACTATTTTTCTGTTAACACAATCATTTCTTTCGTGTACTTAATTTACTCAAATATCAATTTTGATGCTGAGGAAAAACGTCAGTTACATTCTCCGCGCGTTCGACATAAATCTCTTCACGAGTTAGAAACGATAAAAAAAAGGGAACGCATAAGTGCTTAACAATCGTCCATGAGGAAAGGTCACTTGTCTCTGACATTGTTAGTGAGTAATAACAATAATCCGGACTAAGACCCATTACATCGAGGTCATGTTTCATTAATCGAGCGTGGATTCCTGTTTCAGAAGGTTGGCTGCGACCTTAGAGTTGGTAGTAACAAGAACACAGATGCGTGTGGCGTGTGCGGAGGGAATGGATCAAGCTGCCAATCGCGATACTTCTGGAGTTTCGAATCGATATCCGTCTGCTCCAAGTCCTGCGGTGGAGGTTGGTAATTACCGGGTTAATTTAGCTATATTCTCCCGCGCGAAGCGTTACCGCGATCGCGAGATGACGCGGATGTTGCGTAAAAATTCAGAATCGATCGTCGGGGATCTCGTGTGCATATTTGTTTCCCGGTAAAAATATAAAAGTATCCAACATACGAAAACATACGGAAATGTACACGGGGAAAAATCGTTCGATTGGATCAATGTGTCAATGAACAAACCAATCGCATTTTGGTTGAAAAAGCAGAATTTCTAGTTCTTGGAATTAAATTTGATTCACAAGAACCACACTAAAAACAAAACACATTTAGTTCGTTTACTGGTATGCTAATTCAAACAAACATGTTCTCTCCATATATGAATCAAATTCTTATAAATAAAATTCAACAATCAAAAATCAGAAATTCTGTTTCCTCCAACCAAAACGCGTATGGTTGATTTATTGTAATTCAACAAAATCTTTTCTCCGTGTATAAATTAAATTCGACCTTAAAGATCAGTTTCCTTTTTCCTTCACTTAAAACACGTCTGGTTTGTTTCTAGCCACATTAATTCACACACACAACCAAACTTCTCCTCTCCGTGTACAAAATCACACACTGAGAGAAATTATTCGACAAAAACGAGTATTTCTGATCAAAATACCGACGTATTTTTATATCCGATCAGGATATTCAATTAAATTTAATCGAATACTTCCGATCATAATGGCATTTCAACAGATAAAAATTTAATCAGATAATTTTATCAGATGAAAAAATTATAAACTAATATTTCTCAGCGGATGTTTCCTAATCGGATATAAAAATTCATCGGTATTTTGATCGGAAATATCCGTTTGTTAATTTTGTATTGTATAATTTCTCTCAGTGCATAATTCTCCCTCTCTCTCTCTCTCTCTCTCTCTCTCTCGCGGCTCTCACGTAAAAGTAACTCTCACATTATCGCGGCTACCGCGCGCTCGTTGCATCCAACGTTAAATAAAAGCGTATCGTGCGGCCATTATCCTTAAAAGTTAGAACGACGTCGGACAAAAAGACGCGCGGGGTCGACAAGATCTGCGGGGGTATTGCGGGATTATTTGCACGATAGCGCAACGCTATCGAATCGCCGGGCTAATTTACCGGTCTCGTTTTTGCACTAATAGGTTTTAAGAGAGCGGTGGCGGTGTGCAGATCGGTCGGCACCGACGAGAGTGTCGTGGAGGACAGCTATTGCGATGCAAACGGCAGGCCGGAGAAGACCATAATGCCGTGCAACACGCACCCCTGCACAATCAAGTGAGTACTTTCGAACAGGACTAACCTGTGCAGCGAAGGGGTTGAGATTGGTGGGACGGTGGAACGCAGATGCATGCACGTTCTGCTACGTCAAAGAACGTCGAGCCGCAGCTGAGATTCGCGTGTACAATCATCGGGAAGTATTGTGCGCGATCTCGCGCGAATCGCGCGGTTTCTACCGTGCCACGTAAAATATCCCGAGCCGCTCGCTCGGCCAGCAGTGATATCGCATTCTCACGGTAATTAACGCCGGATAAATCGTAATTTCGCGCACGCACGTAAGCGATATCTCGGTATCCCTCGGAGGAAGCAACGAGGAGGCGAGCGGAAAATTGGGAACCCTCCGCTCTCTCGCGGCTGCAAACGATCCTTGTTCCTATAACAATATTTCTCTTCCGTTTCGCGGAAGGGTTGCGAGGTAGCGATTTAAAGCTAACTCTCTCGCTCCCTCTCCTTTTCTCGCTCTCCCTGACGATGGGAATCGTCCAACAAACGACGAGATACTCCGCCGCCGACGAGTCTCGGACAAAAACTCCGGCGAACTATTCTCTCTGGATACACGAGCTCGCTGAAAGCCGTGGAATAGCGCGCGCGTGGAAAGTTTACTGTCTGGTGTACAGAATTTGTTCTTTGTGCACGAATTTATGGTTCATTGTTCGCGGGGCGATCAATGCTTCTCGGCCTTTCGTCGCCGTATCGCGAACGATTAACTCTTTTAGGCCCAGTATCGATGCCGCTCGAAAAAAATATTCTGCTGCTCTAAGTAAAATTCTAAATGTTACATGTTAAAATTTGTCACTGTTTTTATATCTGCTAGAAAATGCTCTGCGGCAATTTACAGCAACATCATTCTACTAGTATCTATAGTATCTGCAAGTAAATTTAGGTCCCGTCACTAATTATTAATCTGGTAGTATATTTTAAATATGCTACCGCCGTGGAGATGTCACGCTTTCCGCCCTGTGCGCAGAATACTTTGTGATACTTGTTTCACGTTTTCCGCGCGCAGAAAGCTTCGCCAAAAATTTAAACAAATAATAACAACCAGAGTATATTTTTCATGTGCGAACTTCGCAAAGGATTTACTGACGAGATGAGAAGAGGACGGAAAGTAAATATAGAGATAGAGAATCAAACGGTGGAAATTTTATAATAGTCTTATAAAGAAAATAAATTTTTCTATATATATATATATATATATATATATATATATATATATATAAATTTATTTTTTTTATAAGACTACTATAAAATTTTATCGAAGAAAAAATTGGAAATCGACTCTATTCAAGTAAGCAAACCGAGTTATTGTTTCAATTTAATATTTCTTTTTAATTCTTTATTGAAATGCTAAACTTACTAGGTTTCAGAATAAATTTTGAATAAATTTGATGTTTATGATAAACTTATGATAAACTTACGGATATATAAACTTATAAATTATTTGAAGCAACTAATATTTATTTCAATGTAATACATATTTTTCTGTATGCACCACAGAGAGACTTTCTTGTTAAATTTCACAAGTAATTTAGACAGAAATTCTATCTTTGTTCTTTATACCCATTTTAGCTAATTCCTCGTATCTAGGTAATTTTTGCTGTGCCTGCGAGATTATTTTTCTGAGTGCAGAATTTAATAAGTCTCATAATCGTGATAATTAATATAAAAGCGCCAATCATATATTTTATGGTGATATCGATAAGATATTGAGAAAATAAAACTTGTTTACTTTTTCTCGTGAAAACCTTCATACAATCTCGAGCACCAATGACTCTATTTGGCATACCATCGCCATATTGGTATTTTTTTTTTTGTAGAAAAATCACTATTTCACAGATTAGAACATGGAATATAGTTTTATAGATCGACAGTTTGATAGTATTGTACTAATGGAATCATTATTTTGTCAATATAAAAAATCTGAAGTGGACCCAAAGTGAATTATTGTGTACACTGGGCTTTAAAGGGTTAAGGTGAGTCACTTTAAGTATGCTACCGCCGTGGAGACGTCGCGCTTTCCGCCCTGTGCGCAGAATACTTTGTGATACTTGTTTCACGTTTCCCGCGCGCAGAAAGCTTCGCCAAAAATTTAAACAAATAATAACGACCAGAGTATATTTTTCATGTGCGAACTTCGCAAAGGATTTACTGACGAGATGAGAAGAGGACGGAAAGTAAATATAGAGATAGAGAATCAAACGGTGGAAATTTTATAATAGTCTTATAAAGAAAATAAATTTTTCTATATATATATATATATATATATATATATATATATATATATAAATTTATTTTTTTTATAAGACTACTATAAAATTTTATCGAAGAAAAAATTGGAAATCGACTCTATTCAAGTAAGCAAACCGAGTTATTGTTTCAATTTAATATTTCTTTTTAATTCTTTATTGAAATGCTAAACTTACTAGGTTTCAGAATAAATTTTGAATAAATTTGATGTTTATGATAAACTTATGATAAACTTACGGATATATAAACTTATAAATTATTTGAAGCAACTAATATTTATTTCAATGTAATACATATTTTTCTGTATGCACCACAGAGAGACTTTCTTGTTAAATTTCACAAGTAATTTAGACAGAAATTCTATCTTTGTTCTTTATACCCATTTTAGCTAATTCCTCGTATCTAGGTAATTTTTGCTGTGCCTGCGAGATTATTTTTCTGAGTGCAGAATTTAATAAGTCTCATAATCGTGATAATTAATATAAAAGCGCCAATCATATATTTTATGGTGATATCGATAAGATATTGAGAAAATAAAACTTGTTTACTTTTTCTCGTGAAAACCTTCATACAATCTCGAGCACCAATGACTCTATTTGGCATACCATCGCCATATTGGTATTTTTTTTTTTGTAGAAAAATCACTATTTCACAGATTAGAACATGGAATATAGTTTTATAGATCGACAGTTTGATAGTATTGTACTAATGGAATCATTATTTTGTCAATATAAAAAATCTGAAGTGGACCCAAAGTGAATTATTGTGTACACTGGGCTTTAAAGGGTTAAGGTGAGTCACTTTAAGTATGCTACCGCCGTGGAGACGTCGCGCTTTCCGCCCTGTGCGCAGAATACTTTGTGATACTTGTTTCACGTTTCCCGCGCGCAGAAAGCTTCGCCAAAAATTTAAACAAATAATAACGACCAGAGTATATTTTTCATGTGCGAACTTCGCAAAGGATTTACCGACGAGGTGAGAAGAGGACGGAAAGTAAATATAGAGATAGAGAATCAAACGGTGGAAATTGCGTCGCGGAGCCCGCGAATTTTATTACAAAATTGCGTTTCGCGAGCGAAACGCCGGGGGTTTTATCGGGCGTAACGTACGCGTCGCGATGTATCTCTCACGTCACTCGATAATCGATCTGGCGAGTTTCGCGAAAATTGTCACTCGGTGCGCGCGCGTGATACATCACCGCGCGGCGGTATCGAAACGTATCATCTGACGATTAAGACGGGCCCGATAGTTGGGCGCGCAGCGCAATTGAGGGACTTTTACCACCGTCGGCGGTGATGGCCGACGCGCGTTGCACAGACACAGTATCGTGATTACGAGTGGACCCAACCGATGAATTACCAGCGGCAATTGATCTCGTCACCAGCAAATCAGCGCTAATTGGACCGGCCGCGAGTTTAGTTGAATTTAGTTTGGCCGGCCAGACCGCGAGAGCGAACCGCCGTGTCCTCCGTTCCCTGGAAAGAGCGGGAGAGAAAGAGAGGCAGAGACAAACGAGACTCTAACCGCCGCGAAAAGCCGCAACCGCGCTTTAGGCTGACGATTCGGAAGCTATGATTTAATTGTGTATTACAACAAGCCGCGTTATTCACCGGCGATGCTTAAGGAATTTATTGACCTAAGTGCTTAAAATCATGCGAAAACTCAACGTAGCTTTTATCGCGGTAAACTCGTTGAAATACGATCGTTGAACCTAATAAGTTCAGTATTTCAATAAAGAATTAAAGAAAAAATTAAATTGAAACAAAAACTCGATTTGCTTACTTGCACAGAGTTGATTCAACTTTTTCTTCGATAAAATTTTATAATATTCTTATAAAAAAAATTAATTCTTCTTCTGAATTCAAGATGTATATAATGAGCCTAAAATTTCTGATAAAGATAGATTTGGACACTATCATCAAGTCTCATGCGATTTATCCGCACCGTTTGTGAGAAATTTGACACTGAATGTCGCAATTTTGCATCAATAATCTTATGATCGACTTTTAGGAGCGACACAGATGACTATTATTCCAGTGTATAACTTCATAAAAAGTAATACTATTCAAATAAAAAAATTTATAATTATAAATGTTACATATTAGGAAACGTGGAAGAAAGAATAGTATTCACTTTACCGTTTTTGTGTCAGTTTTTTTGTACCGTTGTAGGTCAGAAAATTGTTGTTTTATGCTTTGAACAACATTATTGTACTGAGTGAAATATTGGCAAATATCATGAAATGAATTCTAAATTAACATTTATTATTTAGATAGTAAAGTATATATGCAAAAACGTAATTTGGTCCAAAATAGTAAATTTATAAATAGCTCTTTTGATACATCTTGAAAATACGTCTCTTAGGAGCTCTGAAAATACATAACTGGTAAATATCTCCTTAAGCGCGCGCCGTGTCGAGCGTTATGAAAATTAAATCAATATCAGTTATTGATATTTTCAAATTATCAATATCAGTCTAATGTTAATTTGATGGAATCTATTAAGAAAAAGAAAAATGGGTAGAAGCGGCACTCAATATATCACAGATCCCGCTTATATGTGAAAAATAATATTGTTATAGAGATCATTATTAATGGAGATTATCGGTTTCACGGCGCACTCGTAAGCCGGTCATATGTGGACGAATGAGTCTCGTTTATTTAATCCGTCGTTCCGTTTTGCCCCGCGGCGAATAGCGTTTCCGCGCCGTTATACGTAAAGCACGGTGCAATTTACGTCTTTATTAAGAG